ATGTTTTGAACATTTATCTTAGATTTAAAATAAACTAAATGATCAGATACTTAGCAATTTGGACAAAATTATGTATATTATTTTAAGGTTCAGGAAAAAATATATTTTAGAAATTCAAAGTTTAAAAAAAATACCTAGTATAGGCACACAGGGCCTGAACCTGGATAGAATTCAAGGAAAACGGAGTATTGCCTTCTGATTCCTCTTTCTCACTGTATTTGTGATTTTTCTCTCTGAGAATTCTGAGATGCTTTTTCCACCACTGTGGGAATTAGCTGTATGCTCTTTTTTTTTTTTTTTGAGATCTTCTTTCCCAAAGACATTTGTATTTTCAAAGAGATCATTGATATTGATATAGGAGTCTGCACAATGAAGTAGGTCATCAAAAAAATTTAGAAATCTGTGTTTCTCCCTCAATTTTCTACCAGGCAGAAGTCAGCATATTGTCTATAGACAAACAGGGTCTGCCCAACAGGACAAAAGGTGAGCTAGATATTATGAATATAGTGTCCACAGAATTATCAAGCAGATATACATTAATACGTAGTGATTGTATCTGAGAGCAACAAAGTGCTCTTCCAAATGGGAGCTCTGATTTCAGTTTAATGTTTAGGAAAGATGAAAAGAGTTTGTAAAACTAGATCTGTTCAGCAGATGGCGTACTTAAGCTATAAATTATGGTTTTAAAGCAAAGTTTTTTTTTTTTTATTTTAATGATTTTATGAAAAGTTTTTATGCTTTATGTTTCTTTCAAGATTAAGTTGCCAATCTGTAATTTGAAAGTATTACATCTGTTTTTAAATCACATAGACTCTATTATCAGATATTTTGTCTAGGGACTAATAGCTGCACATATTTGTTAGAGATGCAAGAATCAGAAATTACTATGTGAGCAAGGAACCACCCTGCCAGTTTAGGAAAGGAGGAACTAGTTACATTAATTCATTTTTCTGGGCCTCAGGGCAAGAAAGTTGTGGCTGCCCCCCTCCCCCTAGGAAGTTATCTTTGCTGAGTTCCCTGAGCCCAGCCAGACAATTCACACATGCATGTGAATTGTGAATCCATGGGATACTAAAGAAAAGAAAAGCATATGAATTTATTATTTCTCCAGTGATAATTTACTTATCTAGGGATTAGCCAGCTGGGATTGCTTCCCTGTTGGGACAGGCACAGTCCCCAAGTATCAGAACCTTTTGTCTTGTTCCCACACCACAGCTCCTTACCTGTCCAGTCTGCCTTAAGATCTGTTAAGTCTGGCCCCAAGGGACAGCTTTCTCTTCCTGAGTTCTCTTCTGAATGTTGAAACCAGTTGGCCCCTTTCAGTAATCTTCAAGATCTTTTTGTTCATAGAGTTTCTAAAATAAAAATTTGACACTCTCTATTTAAGTGCTGACAAGACATAAAAGCTCCTTAATTTTCAAATTTTTAACTTACTAACTCCTGTAAATACAAATTAAGACATCCCGCAGAACAACAGCATGCCAACTCCATCTCCACCCTAGATGGGGATGGTGATCATTTGTGTATCATTTTGTACTTGTTTTAGGGGTTGAGAGTAGGGGATGGGGAGGTAGAATGGACTTCCAACAGTGTTTAGGCTTTGCTTTTTCTATTTTCTCACCTGCAAGTTCCCTGCCCTTTCCTTGCCAGTTGGAAATTTCTCCAACTGCTGAGGTCCCACAAGCATTTGGTAATCACTTTTATCTATGCATTCTTGGAGCAATTATTTTTTATATTACCCATTTAGGCCCTTAGCATATTTTGAACCATATTTATCTGAGTATCTAAAAAGATAAATAAGACTTTCTCTTTTAAGTGTCTAACATCTGTTTTTGTGTGTTCACCCAGAGTTATAATAGATAGTTACTGTTTTGTTATATATTTGAACTGTTGTTCTATCAAGTTCTTTCTTCTAGCCATTTTCCCCTAGGCTAGGAATGGTGGCTCATGCCTATGCGTTTGTCCTAACCTCTTCCATTAGGGTTGGTTTAAGTTAGTATGTGTCTCTCTTTCTCTCTGTCATCACACCGGACTTTAAGTGGTATAAGGAAATATTTTAAATTTATTTTTTTCTTTGTCCAAGTTTTAGAGGTGATAATTATCAGTGGAATGATTAAAAATATGGTGCTAGCTTGCCATCATTATTTATTGAGTGCCTATTTTGTGCTAGACACTATTGAAGGCAGTTTTTAATTTTCACGATAGCCCTGTGACATATGAACCTTTATTATTCCATTTCAGTTAAGGAAACATAGGAACAGACAAGTAACTTGTCAGAAGTTGCATGGGATAAGATTACAGATCCCACACTTAACCCAGTGGACTCCACCCATTGTATTATCTTGCTCCTTGAAAGACAGGTACTAGTAGAAAGGAGTGGAAGCAACAGTCCTGGATAAACCTCAGTACCCAGAACTTCTTTCAGAGTGTTTGAGAAATATTGGAGACTTAGATTAGGGAGGCAGAGCCAAAAGAAAGGATTGCATAATTGTTTTGTGAATTACAAGCTCGAGAAAGCCAATCCAGATAATTAGGTCATAATCTTTTTTGTACTTGATTGTGTAAGTTTTTACTAAGAAGATTAGTAATAATAAAGCCCTGGTTAATGTTTTGGGGAGTCAAACATTATTAGTCTTATGGGCATGTTTGCTTATTTTGCTTCTGCTTATCATAAAGACTAAGTTAATGGCTTTGAGATCTTTATTTACAATAAGCAGAAAAAAGGTACTGATTTGTTAACTGTGCTATCTTACTGGCATACAGCTATGTATTGTTCTCTCAATATATAAAACCTCATGCTGTGTTATTTTGTCTGATGGGAAAAGATAAACAGTGAGATTTCTTATGCAAAAAATGTACATTTTAACTTTGCTAGTTCCGTATGCCTTTATTAACATCTCAGAGACTTATCCTCCCAACCTGTCTTGACTTCTGCAGGGTCACTTTTCAGGAAAAGTAGTTTTCTGATTTGTGGAGCTTGGAAATATAAATAAATAAGCAATTTCTGATATTTATTGACCAGACCTCAATTTGAAAATTCACTGTAAAGCTGAACTCCATAAGGCACTCATTCTCAAACTTCAGTGTGTAGGAATCACCAGGGAAGCTTAGAAAATGTTCCTAAGCTCTATCCTCAGAGACCAATTTATTCTCCAGTTGATTCTGATATAGGTGTCCTCAGGGTGCCAGAATAAGATAGAGAGGAGGGGACGCAGAGTTGGGAGTATAGAAACTCCATACTCTGAAGACTTATGCACAGAATGAAGTGCCAGAGAACAGATGGGCTTTCCCTCAGGGCTATGTCAGAAGCTGTTGGAAATCTGATCAGCCCTTCTAGTAGGTCCCACATAGGACTCACTCTTGCTGACTCTTTAAGTAATACATGACTGTTCAAATCCAGCTTGCCACTGTGGTTAGAACCACTAATCTCCTGTGCAACTGTATTCTCTTGGCTTGTGGGAGAAGGAAATCAGTCTGCAGATGGCTGAGTGCTCATTATGATCAACTGGGATGGGGTTAGGTAAGGAGGCAGAGCTAGTGAGGGAGAGAGATCTAAGTCTTAGCATTTTGCCATTGTCCCAGCCTGAAGGCTACACACTAAGAGGGGGACATGGAGCTATTGCAAAGGGGGAAATTGTATTATTCATGGTCCAATTGGGAGAAATTATTGTTTTTATTTTTGGAGAAATGCTATGAGAACTGCTGAGAAGCTAAGATAAGACCCTAGGCCTAGATCTGCTGACACTTGGCCCATGGAGGTGGGAAGAAGTGCTCTGCATAACTCAAACAATGGAATTATTTTGTTCCTGAAATACAGGAGCAGGAAAAAGCCAGCAAGAGTAGACCTTTTTGGGAGAAGGGCTAAAGAAAGTATACCCCTACCTGCAACACACGAACACTAGACCTCACCAAGAGACAGCGAACCAAAAAGGAAAAAAGAAATGACTAAGGAGAATTCCAGGTGGTTTTTGTGGGATGTGTGTTATAAACCATTTTCTCTGTCTCAAGTGGAGAAATCTTTAATAATTGTGTGTCTTGCTGTAAGGAAAATGAGACCACAGCAGCTTGCTAAGCTCCATATGTGAGCTTTAAACAGTATTTTAGATCCAGTAAGTCATTTGTTTCCTATCTAGGTGTATTGTGCTGTAATTTTCCAAATATTAATATGTATACTCTGTAGATGTTGTGAATGATAAAATACAAATGCATTTCTCTTTTTTTGAGACAGAGTCTTGTTCTGGTGTCAGGGCTAGAGTGCAGTGGCATCATTGTAGCTCACTACAACCTCAAATTCTTGGGCTCAAGTGATTCTCCTGCCTCAGCCTCCTGGGTAGCTGTGACTACAGGCATGGACTACCACACCCAACTAATTTATCTATTTTTTGTACAGATGGGGTCTTACTCTTGCTCAGGCTCATTTTGAACTCTTGGCCTTAAGCAGTCCTCCCACCTCAGCCTCCCAGAGTGCTAGGGTTACAGATATGAGCTACCACACCCAGTCCACAAGTGCATTTTTTAAGAGTTTTTGCATTCATAGTAGATTTTGATGGTGGATTTTCTCAATCTACTTTATGGTTGGGTCTGAGGAATTTTTGACTCAAACAAACAAAAAAACAGGTTCTCATTCTTACAGAGGGTAAGAAACCACTGAGCTAAAGCAGCACAATTATGTCTTCAGATTGGCTATAAAGAACTTAGTTCTCACATAATACAAAACATGGTACAGTGACTCAATTGTGTCATTTATGGTAGATTTTTGGAAAGAGGCAAGGTAAGCTTTATTTTGATTTGACTTTAGCAAACTATCAACCCTGAATAAATACTGGGGGGGGGGTAAGTTTAGCATGTTTACTTAAAAACTGTCACATTATTTGAATTTTATTTTTTTCTTTATACTATTTGACATTTTAATTGTATAAGGATCTATCTGCAACTTAGTAATGACATGCAAATTCAGAAACATTGATTCCATTCCATTCCTTTTTTTTTTTTTTTTACAGGCACTATTATGTGGTTTACTTGTTACATGTCCTGAGGATCCACTGAAATATTTAGAGGAAATGATCATGACTATAATTGAAAATGGTCTTGAAAGTCTTCTTTGGTAAGGATTGTTTTGATTTATGATAGGGAAATATTTTATTTTAAAGGTAAAATACTTATTGTATAATATCAAAATAAGGTCTTGCCAATGATATCCCTCTATAGGTTTTTAAGTTCCAAAGACTTAAACATGAATAGTTTGCCCACTGGTTTTCAACTTGAGAAATATAGTATACTCTCACCAGTAATATGTATTCATAGGGCCATTGTATTTCAAGTTGGGAATGGGGAAAGGGTAGCACATTGTCCTTGTAGGTCACAGCAAAATCTTGGGGGATAGTTTGAAAAAGTCCTCCAGGTTGTTAACATACCAAAAGGGCCATCCAATAATAAAAAAAAAAGTCCTCTAGGTACTTCTAATTTGCTTCCCCTAAGGGGAAAATAACCATTCCCCTTCTTTTTACTCCACCCACAAGAATCACTGATGTAATTATGGAATTAACTACTATAAAATGAAATTAGTTTTTGACCATATTTTATGATTTTATTAAAGGGATATGTGCATTGAACCATCAATGAAACCAAAAATTCGAAGATTGTCTGAAACATACCTGGAACAACTTTTTGGACTGGATGATCAGCTGGTAATTATTAGTAACCAGAAATTCTAAAATATATATCTTAAGTTTTTTTTTTTTTTTTTGAGACAGAGTCTCACTTTGTTGTCCAGGCTAGAGTGAGTGCCGTGGCGTCAGCCTAGCTCACAGCAACCTCAAACTCCTGGGCTTGAGTGATCCTTCTGCCTCAGCCTCCCGGGTAGCTGGGACTACAGGCATGCGCCACCATGCCCGGCTAATTTTTATATATATATCAGTTGGCCAATTAATTTCTTTCTATTTATAGTAGAGACGGGGTCTCGCTCTTGCTCAGGCTGGTTTTGAACTCCTGACCTTGAGCAATCCGCCCGCCTCGGCCTCCCAAGAGCTAGGATTACAGGCGTGAGCCACAGCGCCCGGCCTATATCTTAAGTTTTGATGGAAGTTTCCACATAGATTTTATATTTTATGGGAGGTATGAGGTCAGACTGTTTTTGGTATTGGGGGACCAGAAAAGTGAAGGAATATCATATACACACACACACAACCGTACTCATAGTAACCTCCTCAAATTTCCAAGAAGCATTTAGACGGCATTTGTTCCTTTTCTTTCTGATAAAATCTTTCCATTAAATTTTTCCCATTTCCCTTTCTTCTCCACTTCCTCTCACGCATCTTTATAAAAATAAAAACAGCATTATGGAAAGCTTTAAAGGAGGATGTTTTCTTTCCTTTCTAATCTGCTTCTTTCTGCATCCCATCTCCCTGCCCATTCTCTCTGCTGTCTGCCCTCTCAGATTAGGATACAGGGAATCATGATTATAAAGACATGGCTAAAACATCAATGAGATCTAACTTAAAAGCCAAACCTCATTGTTAATGAAAGGAACAACCAGCTCCAGCAGCTGGTTTTAATCCTGTAAAGAGGGCAAGGAAGTAATCAGGATATGAACACTTTAGAACAAAGACTATGTGTCTAAGAGAAACTAAAAGAGCAAAAGGCATGTGGGGAGAGAAATACTAACCCAAATTAGATGTGAGTGGGACCGTGTGTGATACCTCTTGATCCCAGGGCTGTCTTCTGGGTAAGCCCAGGCAGGATTTGGGAGTTGCTAGTGAAGTTGAGTGTTGAAAAGTGGAATCAAAGCATGTTCAAGGATGGGCACTTAGAGCCAGGAACAATTTGAAGCATCTGTTTAGAAGGATGGGTGGAGAGTAACACTGGATCCTAATTAGTGGTCTGCAACAGAGCAACAAAAATAGAGGAATGGGATGAGTCTGCCAAGCCTGGAATGGTGCCAACATACTGTGCATAATCCACATGTCTGATCCTGTTGATCTGCATCATGGTGTGTGGATGTCTTAGCTGTACTTCATTAACCACATACCTTTGATGTACTATGGAGTGCAGATATCAGCAAGCTATGTTCTTTGATATGTTTGGAGGCAATCTCAAGAGCTGAAGGGAAGGCCCAGGGAATGGGATTCTGGGTCTTCCACCCCACCCCTGTACTCTAATTTTGCTTTCAGTATAATTTTACTTGAAAAAAGCTTGAAAACTATTACCAAAAGATGCTAAAACTTTTAAAAACCACTGATCTAGAGGGGGTAAACCTCATTGTCAATATTTTGACAAGGATCTTATAAAATGTAAAATCAGGCTGTGTCCAATGTCCAGCTAGAAGCCTATAGGGAATCTTTTAAAAACTGCACAGAATAGCTATTTCTATTAGAATTCTAGAGGAAAATGTTGGAAATACTCTTCTAGACATTGGCCTAGACAAAGAATTTATGAAGAAGACCCTAAAGACAATCACAGTGGCAACAAAAATAAATAAATGGGACCTGATCAAATTAAAAAGCTTCTGCACAGCCAAAGAAACTGTCAAGAGAGCAAACAGACAACCCACAGAATGGGAGAAAATTTTCACAAGCTACACAACCAATAAAGGGCTGATAACTAGAATTTATTTAGAACTCAGGAAAATCAGCAAAGAAAAATCAAACAACCCTATCAAAAAGTGGGCAAAGGACATGAACAGAAATTTTTCAAAAGAAGACAGAATAATGACCAACAAACATGAAAAAATGCTCAACATCTCTAATCATCAGGGAAATGCAAATCAAAACTGTAATGAGATATCACTTATTTCCAGTAAGAATGGCCTTTATCAAAAAGTCCCCAAACAATAAATGTTAGTGTGGATGCGGAGAGATAGGAACACTCCTACACTACTGGTAGAACTGCAAACTGGTTCAGCTTCTGTGGAAAGCAATATGGAGATACTTTAAAGCGATACAAGTAGATCTACCACTTGATCCAGCAATTCATTACTGGCCATCTACCCAAAATATCAAATTACATTGTACAGAAGGGACACCTGCACTTGAATGTTTATAGCAGCACAATTCACAATTGCAAAGTTGTGAAAACAACCCAGGTGCCCATCAATACATGAGTGGATTAATAAAATGTGGTATATGTATACCATGGAGTACTATTCAGCTTTAAGAAACGATGATATAGCACCTCTTGTATTTTCCTGGATAGAGCTGGAACCCATTCTACTAAGTGAAGTATCTCAAGAATGGAAAAACAAGCACCACATGTACTTACCAGCAAATTGGTATTAACAGTTCAACACCTAAGTGGACATATAGGAATAACATTTATCAGATGTTGGGCGGGTGGGAGAGGGGAGGAGGGGATGGGTGTATACAAACATAATGAGTGAGACGTGCAACATTTGGGGGATGATCACGCTTGAAGCTCTGTGACTCAAGGCAAGAGGCAAGGGCAATATACGTAACCTTAATATTTGTACCCTCATAATATGCTGAAATAAAAAAAAAAGAAAAGATTCTTAGAGATATTTCATGATATTGAAAATGCAAAGGATAAAATGTTGGAAGCTGATCCAAACTTAGAAAGGAGTGTGACAATTTGCCAAGGCATAAAAAAGATGCCCACTTAATATTGTAAGTTGGAAAAAATAGAAATGAGGTAGGACTTTGCAAGAGCAATGAGGAACATATTTGTTAAGGTTAGACATGAAAATGGGAATCTGCAAGTGTCACAGGGTTGCTTAGAGGGCTTAACCTGGGTTGGATCTAGATTAATTCATTTCTTCTTTATCCTTAGAGAAAAATGAAAAATTTTCATTTTTTAAAGTAAAACACTTTAATCCTCAGCGTTTCTGATATTTTGAAGTATGTAATACTAAAGCCGGGTGTCATGGCAAATGCTTATAGTCCCAGGTAATTGGGAGGCTAAGGGAGGAGTGTTGCTTGAGCTCATGAGTTTGAGACTAGCCTGGACGATATAGGGAAACCTCATCTCTTAAAAATTACAAAGTATAGTATATTAAATAAATATTAGTTGTGTTTTTTATATTCATTTCTTATACAGTTTCCTGTATAAGTTATAACTGGCAGTAAGAGGATTTTGAATGTTTTAACAAAGAAATTTAAAGATCACAAACAATTATAATTTTTTCCATTAATTATTAAGATGGCTTTGCAGGGTTTTACAGTCTATCACTATATAGTTCTGCATAGTGAGGAAAACTTGTATATGTGTCTTTATAAAGTACAAATATGTCTCCCTATTTAGAGAAGAATGAATATAGGAAACTGTAAATAAGCCAAATAGTTACAGAAAAAGTAGGAACTGCTCTCATAACATTAGAGAGAAAGACACTTTAATTGTTTCAAGTGTTCCAAGCTGAAAGAATCAACCATAGTAAGGAGGAAACTAACTTCACAGACTTGACTCTTATTTCTTAGGAAATGAAATCTCCAGATGGGCCTACTAATTACAAGAAAAAAAGACATATATAATAACATTTTAAAAATCTTTTTATTATGCAAAAATTTAATTGTAACATGAACTAGAAAGAATACCATAATTATTACCCATCATCTAGCTTAAACAACAGTCACCATTTTGCCAATTTTGTTAATTTATTTTCCCCTCCTCTCTTTTTGCTGGAGTATTAGAAAGCAAATCCCAGAAATTATATTATTTTATCAGCAAATACTTCAGTGTGCATTACTAATAGGAAATAATATTTTTAGAGAATATAAACACAGTGCCATTGTCTTATGTAATAAATAGCAATGATTCTTGAATAACATCTAGTGCTGATTATATTTAGGTACATATTGCATATTTGAGTTTCCTTAATTGTTTCAGAAATGTCTTTTAATATATGGCTCTATTTAAATCAGAATCCATACAGAGTCTTCATATTGCTCTTGGATATCTAATGTCTCTTACAATTGACAACAGTTCTCCTTTCTTATTTTTTCCCATGCTACTTATTGATGGAAAGAAATAGATCACTTGTTTTGTAAAATGTCCCATGCCCTCATTGTTTCCTCTCGTGTCATTTCAGTTGCTCTGTTTCCTGTATTTCCTGCAAGCTGGTACTTAAATCTACCAGCTTGATTACATTGAAGTCCCCTTACCCTTTTTTATGGTGGCAAGAAAATTGCAGGCTGGATATTGTGATTCCCACCTGTAATTCTAGCTACTCAGGCAGCTGAGGGAGGAGGATTGCGTGAGCCCAGGAGTTCAAGATTGCAGTGAGCTATGATGAGGCTGCTACATTGCAGCCTGGGAGACAGAATGAGACCCTGTCTTAAAAAAAATAAATAAATAAAAATTGCATAGAGGTGTTGTGTCCTTGTTAGTGCATCACATCAGGAGGTACACATGGTCTGGTCAAGTCACTTTTTTTTTTCTGAGTCTTATTTCAAAATATTAATTTTCTCTTTATAACTTCACAATGGAGCTCCATTGTGATCCCTTCCGAGCGTCAAACTGTTTTGTTTTTTCATGTTTCCAGGGTTCTTTTGCTGGTTTCTCCTTACATGATTCTTCTTCTCCTGGCTCAGGGCTAGGAGAAAAGTATTAATTTTTCTCTTTTATTTCAAAATATTAATGGGTACAAATATTTTTGTTACATGGGTAGCTTTTATAATGCTTATGTCAGGGCTATTAGTGTGCCTATCACCTGAATAGTGTTCATTGTACCTGTTAGGTA